CTGCAACCCTAGAGCTCTTTGCATGACGTACAGGCAGCTCAAGAGGTCAGAGAGTGTCCCCTCTGCAGTTGGATGGGTCACAGTTCCCTATCCCAGCAGTTTACTGCTTCTGTCTCTCCGGAGAGGGACCCCCATTTTCAGCCTTCCCAGGCATGTGAAGTTGTTTACCCCTGGTTCTCCTGAGCCTCTTCATTGTCTCCTGGGAAGCACCTTTTAACTTGGAGGGCACTGTTAACGTTACATTATCCGAAGTAATGCCATCTCTGTAAAAGGATAGAGTGACCTGTTCCTCAGTGTGACATGTCGACACAAACCTATTGCTAGTCATGTGAAAGAACAGCATGCACTGCTAGGCAGGGCACACGACCCTCGGTAGCGACAGTAAAAGCTAAGAATCTGCATCATGTCTTTTCTGTGCTTTGGGCTGTTTTAGCATGCTCTCCGTTTACAGTGTTTCCTGGAGTGCGCAGTCTCGTGTGACTCCCTAACTTTCTTTGTTTTTATGGGTATGTGGTGCGGGAGAATTATCTGTATTCTGTCAATCATGTATTTTAATAAAACGCTGATTGGCCAGGCAGGAAGTATAGGCGGGTCAACCAGACAGGAAGTAGAGGCGGGGCAATGAGAATAGGATAAGGCTAGGGAGGAGAAAGCTCCCTCAGCCACTCCTGTGCAGACCACCGAAGAGACAGCATGTAACTTGCCCAGCTGAGAAAGGTACGCAGCCATGGGCTAACGTAGATAAGGATAATGGGGTAACAAAAGTTGTAAGAACTAATAAGTAGCCTGACCTAGTGGGCCAATCAGTTTATAACCTTATGGAGTCCTGTGTGTGATTATTCTTTGTTGCTTGCCAGCTGTTGGGGTACTTGGAGGGATGGAAACCCCAACAAGCTGGCCCTCATGTTACAGGTATGCACATGGCTCGCGTGGGCTTACGTGCTCCATGTGTGTGTAGGAGCCCATGGGGGCCAGAAGAATGCATCAGATCCCTGGAACTGGAGTTGTAGGTGATTGTGAGCTGTTGTGTAGGTGCTGGGGATTGAACCTGGGTCCTCTGCAAGAGCAATGGATGCTCATAACCGGTGAACCATCCCTGCAGTTAGCTCCCTTATGTGCCTTCTTGATCTCACCATCTTTTCTAGCCCTTGACTTGATCTTCTGTTTCCTTTGTCATGCCCCAAGAAGCAATAAGTTGTTCCATACATATGTACCTATGCAATACACACTTCATATAGCATAGGTCGTGGGAGGTTGTACTTTCAGGCTAGTGTGTGTATTCCCTATGTCCACTAATGATAAAATTGCCTAAATAACGTATTTCTCAGCACGCATCCTCATGGTTAAGAGATATATGGCTGATTGTAGGTGTAAAAATATAAACAGAATAGCCCAGTGAGCCCACCATCCACACTGTCGCTCAGCTTCAACTACACGGCCTTACCCCCTTCTGTACCTTTCCTTGCTTCCCCAGTCTTAGAAATCCTCTGACTTTTATGTGTTTCAGCAGAAACAGTTCAGAGATGACAAGCTCTGAGGGAGACGTAAGAACGAGGTAGCAACGGCAGGAGACAGGAGGGAGTATGCGAGGTATGAGGGATGCTGAGCGTATGGTACGATAGAGCTGAGGAGAGATGCTTAGGTCACGGAAGCATCTCCATTCTTTACAACAGAGAGGCACATAAGCTTATGAGCAGCCAATTAGGGGAGTGAGTCCTGGACTGCTGGTGCAAAATTTCTTTCTTTTTTCTTCTTCCTACCGGGTTGGCCTCAAACTCAGCAATTCATCTGCCTCTGCCTCCTGATTGCCGGGACTAAAGACTGTGTTACCACACCCAGCTCGAAGACCTCCAGAACTGGGTGGATTTGGATGAGTCTGGTCAGTGTGATTGTTGGACCTTTCTTTCCTTCTAGTACAGCACAGACTGGGTGTATATTCAGAAAGCGATGGAGAATTTGTTCATAATGGGTTCCTACTTTGCTGGGTGGGAAGTCCAACAGGTAGGGTCTGATGGCCTGTTAACATCGGTGTGAGTGGATACTACGTCACCTCAGGGTCTCTGTTCTCAATACAAATCTTCATCCTAACTTCCAGGCTCCTTTTCCACAAACGGCAAAATTACTGCTAAGACAGGCAAGACTTACCTAGCAAAAATCGTGTGTTAACTTCTCTGTGTTGTCTTTTTTTTTTCATAAAGAAAGAGCTAATGAGATCTTGTTCCTACCACTGTGTTTCGTATGTTACATTTATCCTGATCTCCCTGCCTGCCATACATTCTAATTTTTCCTGAAAAAAAAAAAAAGAATGGATGTTGGTCTTTTTAATACCAATCATTTACATTAATTTGTAATTTAGAAATAACTTTATTAAAAATGTTAGGCTTTTTTTTTTTTTGTCAGTACTGTGGAATCCTGCCATAATTTGGTCTGTTATTTCAAAGGCTCGTCTGTAGAGTGAAGCCGTGTTATTGTGGAGACACACAGAGTACACATACACACATGCAGGCAAAACATTCATACATGTAAAAAATAAATTAAGGAATATACAGTATTAGAAATTGTCTAAAGATTTATTCTGTTGTTTACTCACATGTGTGTACACTTTTAATTAATGAGTCATCCCGCCAGGCCCGCAGCATTACCTTTTAATGTTTTCCGTTCTGTTTCCCAAATCCTCGTGCCTCTGCGAGCTTCGAGTTTCCCATGGTAGCCTGAGAAGAAGAAGGCTGCAGATGGTGAGGGACCAGCATCAGCAAGGCCCTCTGGTCCTACCTACTGCTCCTTGTCCATGCGTGGGCTCTGCACTCACAAGCCAGTCAAATACAGATCGGAGGCATTTAAGCATCTCACCTGTACTGAGCACACTTTGTCTTTACACTCGTGTACCAACAGTTTATATAGCAATCATATGATACCTGGTATTATAAGTAATGTAGGAAAGAAAGACACACAGGAGGATGTGCTTAGGTTATAAGCCACTACTATACCAGTGGTTCTCAACCTGTGGGTTATGACCCCTTCACTAGGGGCCACATATCGGATGTTTATATTACGATTCACAACAGTAGCAAAATTACAGTTATGAAGTAGCAATGAAATAATTTTATGGTTGGGGACCACAATATGAAACTGTATTGAGAGGCACTGACTATACTGTGGCGCCCCCTCGTCCAGCAAGGAAGAACAACCACGAAGTCGAGGATTCTTCTCAAATCACACTTTATTGGAGCCTCTTGGTTGAAGGGAGAGCGGGAAGTGAGAGAGAGCAAGAAATGAAAGAGAACAAGGAGAGAGAGAGAAAGCAAGAGAGAGAGAAAGCGAGAGAGAGAGAGAAGGCTAAGCGGCATCTGCTTATATAGGTTGAAGGGACTCGGGTACTGCCCTGATTGGTGAATACCAGTCTGCTGATGCCCGAAGCCTCGGGATTGGCCAGAGACAAGGCTCAATTGCGCATGTACAGGCAAAGGGCGCTCAGCCCCACATGGCAATACCAAATAAGGACTTGTTTACCTCCAAGCTGCAGGACCGCCAGCGCCATCTTGTAATGGTGATAATCAGTCGGCTCCTTACACTATACCATTTATGTAAAGGCACCGAGTGTCTTTCTAGGGGGCCTGGAACCTGCTCCCTGTGGTCAGTGATCATTGTACCTGACTCAAGTGAATTTTTCTTACTTACAGGCAGCCCACTCAATCTGAGTGAGAAAAGACCATCCATTATTAGTGACTAGCCCCAGGTAGGTGGGGCTTCATCACTGTTTTGATGGCTAGGCTCTGGCAGCATTTGGATAAGATTGAGCCTGACTCCTCAGTTCAGCCTTTGGGAATTTATTAGAATGGCTTGCAGGTCTAACTCGTCTACCAATGGCTGTCTACCAATGAAAAGTCCAAGAATCATGTAGTTGCTTAGTCCGTGAGGCTGGATGTCTCAGCTGGTCTTCAGTATATGCTGGAATCCCAAAGAAGTATGCTCTAATGCCAGTGAAGGAATGGGCTTGCTGGTGAGAGCAAGCGGGCAAAGAGAGCAAGCAAGCTTCCTTCTTCCGTGCCCGTTAGACAGGCTGCCAGCAGAAGGTGTGGCCCGTGTTAAAGGCGACTCTTCCCACCTCAAAAGATTCAGATGAAAAGTGGATCTTCCTACTGCAAATGATTTAATTAAGAAAAAGAAATCCCTCCCAGATGTATGTACCCAGTCTCTTGGGTTTTAAATCACTTCCAGACGTAGGCAACTGGGAATAGTCATCTTATTGTAAGCTTCTTGAGGATGAACCGCACAGTCCCTGGCACAGAGGGCGTGGGAGTTCTCGCCATGCTGGGGTATGACCAGCCTTAGCAGTCTGAGGCATCCGACCGCTGTCAGGTTTCACATTGGATCCTTTCATTATCTGCAACATTCTCTGCACATAGTCCCTTCTCATTATGACCCTCTCCGGGTCCTCTACTTAAAGGTACAGTCGTGCGGCCTTTACAACTCAATGCCCCTACCATCCCCAGCCCGTCTCATAGCTGTATTGTTTAATAGACTTGCTCCATGGTTCAGGCTGTTGTCACGTACACAGATGGGAACTCTGTGAGAGTAGGCATACAAGTCCGCTTCCTCACCATTCTCATTGATGCCTGGACCTAGAGTCGGGTGCCTGACTCAACAGGTGTGCACTGTAGCCTTATCAGCAATTGACTTTGGAAGTGGTCCTGTCTTCCAGGCACTCTGTTTCTGAAAGTTGCTGCAGCTGTCTGGAATGTTTTATTCAAAGGATCATCTGCTCATTTACATACTGATCTCAAATGTCCTCTCCTCATGGGAGGTGACTGAAACTACACAGTGTCAGGCTGGGCAACACATGAGTTGGCTTCGAAGTACTGCGATTGTATGAAAGAACACTCCTCGTATCCCCCATATGTTGTTGACAAGGGATGCTTGTTTCAGAGTGAGCTAGCTCATATCACCTCATTTCCTCATCTGTTTTCACGCCACCAAACTCTTGTTATGTTTTCTTGTAGGGCACCAATGCCTCTGCTCTGGAAAAAGACATTGGTCCAGAGCAGTTTCCGATCAATGAACACTACTTCGGATTGGTCAATGTAAGTATTTACTGTTTCCAATATTTTAGGGTATTTGATGTGACTTGCTGGCTGACTTTTGTTTTTGCTGTGTGAGACAAGAGCTATGTAGCTCTATACAGCTCTGTGTAGCTCTGTTGTATCTGAACTCATTTTGCAGACCTGGCTGGCCTTGAACTCTCAGTGATTCTCCTGCCTCTGCCTGAGCACTGCGACTTGAGGCTTATGTACCTTGCCCGTCTCTCTGCTACCATTGCCACCATTATTCATTGTTAAATAACTGGGTGCTTTAGTTAGTAGTAGAGGCAAATACTGGAGAAAGGCATTCTAATCTACTATTTAAAATGTACTAAATGTTGTCCCCAGCAAAGGACTTAATTACTACATTATTGATTGAACTCACAACCCCTTTCCTGCATGCCTTGAGGGGAGTCCCTTTGATATGCTGCTTTTATAGTGACTTCATTAGCATTTGTGGCTGAACCTGCTTTGATTTGTCCTCCCTTTCTCACAGCAGGGACCTTCCAGTCTTTGTATTGGTTTGGGCCAATACAACAGTGACCTGTACTTGACAAATAATATAGCATGTTTTTGAGATATATTAATAATATATCTTTAGCTCGGGGTGAGCTGTCAGTCAAGGACCAAGAGTCATGTATCCCAGAGTCACTTGGCCCCATTGTTGTGAGACAAAACTTTCCCTAGGAGATGCAATACCCATCCGCTCACCCCAGAGTGATGTAGGGAGCTCACGACAGACCAAATTACAGACACCATCGAAGTCTAGTTTGGTGAACCAGTGAGTTTTAGTGAGATTACATACAGGAATATGGGAGAGGTTACTTAGAGGAGCAGAAAAGAGTCAGAGACAGCTGGATCACCAAGGCTCACCCCAACATGGGTGACAGACAGCTCACTAAAACTGGCAAATCTGAAGTCTACTGCACAGCCTGCAGGCAGCACAGCAGGGTGGAGAGGGCCCTTTCCAGGCGCCTCTGCCTAAGCCTCCTCCAGGCTGCTTGGCTGGGCTGGTTTCTGCTTCTTCTAGGCAGCTGTCTGGTCTCAGAGTCTTCTCAGATTTTGTTCTTCCGAGAGTCCTCTTTGAAGTTTATCTCACTCTGGCAGGGAGGGGCCTAGTGGATCCAGTCCGCTCCAGGGACTTCCTGAAACCGCTTTGAGTTGGTTACTTTCCTACTTAAGGAGTTTCCCTGTAGGATATGGAGTTTCGGTCTTGGAGGAAACTGTTTTACAACCTGTTTTCCTTTGTGCTAGACAGGAGCCCCTAGGACCTGGCCCTCCTTAGGCTCTGCTTCCTTGGCAAGGTGGTGGTAGGTCAGGTGTTAAGGTGGTATTGCCCATCACCACTGAGCTTTTTACTTCACCATCTTCTCTTTATTGAACAGAAGTTTTACATGTTGAGGATGCTAGTTCATAGACACATGGCTTTCTGGAGCAGCTTCTCCGCTGGTCTGCCAGCTTTCTGCTGTGTTGCGTGCTTGAAGAAGTTAGGCACATTCTTTCTCAGTAAATGCTACCTTGGATGCAGAGGAAAGAACCCCATCTTTTATTCTCCATGTACTGTTAACTAGTGGTATGAACTGTGGCAAGGAACTTGATTTTATTCTTTAAAAATATAATGTTGGGGTGACCGCAGCCGCTAGTCCAGGCAGAAATGGCTAGAGCGGTGCAGGTTCCCCGCGAGCGGCAGAGCTGGCGGGAGCACGACTGGGTCAGGCTGATACCAGCCATGCGGCCAGGAGAGTCAGGCGGGCGGGTGAGCAAACGGTTGAGTGAATAAACATAAGGCTGAACATAAAGCTAAACATTTATTACTTAAAGAAGAGGCAGAAGACACAGAGACACGGAAACATAGAGACAGAGGAGACACATGTGCACACGCCAAGAGAGGGGGACAGAAGGAAGGGGTTAAGATGGCGACAAGGGAGGGTCAGAAGTGGCTGGGAGTGGGCGTGGCTTGTCCCTTAAAGGGACCAGAGCAAAAGAATAACATTTGGTCTTTCTGGCCTTCCTTTTCCACCTTAATAGTGGCTGTAGTGGTTCTCCCTCTTGAGCCACAGTGAAGGATGAATGAGAGCCCCTAGGTGAGGCCCTGGTGGAGGCCAGGGCATGCTGCAGACACTTGGAAAATAACCCTCTTATTTCCCCAGAGTTGATCACTAGTTCAGGCCAGCCTTGACTGAAGGGTGTCGGGTAAAAGACACTGAGAAGCAGAGTAGAGACCTGACAGAGGAGAGCTACACAAGGCCCCGGAGGACAGTCTTCTAACATAAATACAGCTTATTTTAGCCGCTGTGCAGGGACCTCCACTTAGCTCTCTGAAGAAAGTTATTCAATCCTTGGTAATTTTTTTCTTGACTAAAGAAAATACAAAGGCAGACAGTGGAGAATTATGACTCCTGCCTGACTACTAGAAGAATTATGAAGGCTGTGTCTATTAATAGATTCATTTATGATTCCTGGGATGGTAATTTGTGGAGGTGCCAGCCTCTGCGTGAAGGGGTTTGTCACCTGTTACATGGTTGTGCCAAGGAACATTAAAATACCTAGGCTCCGAAGATGTTCGCACCAAGAGGTGGTTCAGCGAAGGCGCCCATACTCCGTTTGACCTTCTACAGCACTTTGGGATCTGGGCTATGAATCTTGTTATTTCTTCGGAATTTCTTCCTGTTCATTTGCTGTGTGGGAATAGCCGAAAGTGCAGGTCTCAGCTGGGTCCTCCCACGGAGCTAGGCTTCCAGCCACTTAGAAGCCAGTGAGATAATGACATTGCCGCTGCAGTCAAACGTGTCTGTGACCTGGAGAGGAACAGTGTTGCTGTGTGGGCCCTAATCTGATTATAGGGGGGGGTGGTCAGGAACTTGTGTGATACCATATTGAGACAATTGCCACCTTGGAGGAAACATGAGGCAGGGTAATTTAGAAGGTAAGAGGCAGGAAAATGGGAGGTTGGTCTATGGAGACACTTTTTGCTCCATTGCGTTGGAGTAAGTGAGACTTGGCACTCTGGGGCAGCGACCACTGTAATCCTAACAGAGAAAAACAATCCCTGTTTCCTAAAGACGTGAGCTGGACAGGTAGTTCTTAACTCCTTAAATAGTCCTCCTCACTGTTGTATGTGTGTATATGTTTACATAATATGTGTATGTATATGTTTGTATTCATATAAACACATACACATATATACACATATCACACACACATATATTTACATACACTCACACATGCATGTGTGCAGGTGCGCACACATGTGCAAACACACACACACGTATTTCCCACTGAGCTATATCCCTGGTTGTCTCAGGTTTTTTATTTTTATTTTTAATTTCACAGTCATGAGAGTTTTGTTTGTTTGTTTGTTTTTGAGACAAGGTCTTTCCTTACAGCTCAAGTTGACCTTGAACTCATAGTATAGTGCAGGCTGGCTTCCAGCTTGCAGTGATCCTCTTGCCTCAGCTTTCCAAGAGCTGGGATCCCAAATGTGCATCACCATGCCTGCAGTCATGGGGGATTTTTTTATACTGCATTGTGACTTTTCTTTAGCCAGCTGCTTTTCTGAGTCCCCATGCTGTGTAGGTTTCATCTTCCCCTACCTCCCCGAAGACAGGGCTCTTCCATGTTAAAACCCCTGGCAGTCCTGGAACTTGCTGTATAGGCCAGACTGGCCTTATTCTTGTAGAGATCTTCCTGCTTCTGCTTCCTTGGTGCTGGGATTAAAGGCAGGCACCACTATCGCCTGGCTTCTTGTCTCTTTTTTCTAAGTACCAGATCCTATTAGATTCCTCATCAGAGTGTTTATATAAGTTAGACTTTGATGGATCAGAAAAGTACTAGAATTCCTAGGCTTCTATTATCCGTGGGGAATGCATTCCAGGACCCCCAGTGGATACCTAAAACTGCATAGTACCAAACTCTATAGAGACTGTGTTTTTCTTTTATGTTTACACTGGTGGTAAAGGCACAGGAGATTAAATAATGCTCTAATAAAATAGAACAATTACAGTAAATCTTCAGTATTAGTTTGTTTCTTAATACTTGGTTGGAGCTCTTGTTGAGTAATATAAAGATTACTTATGATACCCAGGAAGTCTACAGAGGGGCAAGTGGGCAGGTACCACATACATTATGCCTACGCTCTGCTAAGGGGTGATTCACATCTGGGACAGGATGGCGTAGGATGGTGTGAGATTTCATCACATTGCACAGAATGGAACATAATAGAAAACATATAGATAATTTATTTCTGTAATTTTTCCACGTAATGGTCACAGACTGTGGTTGACTCCCCATGACTGGAAGCATGGCAAGCAAAACTACACTAAGGAAGTTGACTTTGTTACTGAGTGGTTCTCAACTTGTGGGTGCCACCCCCTGGGAGTTGAACAACCCTTATGAAGTGGTTGCCTAAGACTGTCGGAAAACACAGATTTTTACATTACAGTTCATAACAGCAGCAAAGTTACAGTTATGAAGTAGCAACAAAAATGATTTTATGATTGGGGGTCACCACAACTTGAGGAGCTGTGTTAGGGAGTCGCAGCACTAGGCAGGTGGAGATCCTCCTTGTACCCTTTTGTTCCTGTCCTTGTTGATCAGATCCACAGTTATCTCTTCCGGCATATTGGGCTCTGACAGGGGAACGCAGGTATTGGCAGGGTCCAGCATCCTGGCATCTCCCGCTCCTCCCCTGCTCAGAGACAGCTTATCCCCAGACAATGACTCCAGTCACCCCTCTTGTGCCTTGGCAGTTCGGAAACACGTGCTACTGTAACTCCGTGCTTCAGGCATTGTACTTCTGCCGGCCATTCCGGGAGAATGTGTTGGCATACAAGGCCCAGCAAAAAAAGAAGGAAAACCTGCTGACATGCCTGGCAGACCTTTTCCACAGCATCGCCACGCAGAAGAAGAAGGTCGGCGTCATCCCACCAAAGAAGTTCATTTCAAGGCTGAGGAAAGAGAACGGTGAGTGCTGGAGCCTTGGTGGGGTGATGGAGCTGGAGGACGGCAAGAGCCGGGGTTCTGGGCAGCCTCCACATGGAAAGCTCATTCTAGTTTATTAAAGTTTGTGAGTTAGTACGGTTAACTAGGTGGTTTCTTGGACTGAAGAGATGGTTCAGTGGTGAAGAGTGAGCACTTGAAAAATGCATGCTCTGGTTTCAGAGGACTGGAGTTTAGTTCCCAGGGCCCATGTGGGATGGCTCATGGCCACCTATGACTCCAGTTCCAGGGGTTCTGATACTCTACACATTATATATACTTACATAGACACCCCCCACACACATAAATAACAGTGGAAAAAATTGGGGGGGGGTGGGAAGAGAGAGAGTGAGAGAGCGGGCGCAGGTGTGGTAGTGTGTAACTTTAATCCTAACACTTAGGAGTCAAAGACAGCAGGTCACCATGAGTTCCAGGCCACCTAGAACTACATGATTAGACTTTGTTACAAAAAAAAATGAATTAAAATTAATTAATTAATTAAATTAGAAAGGGGAGAGGAGAAAGAAAAGAAAACGGGGTTTCCCTTTATAAGCTATCCTGGCACTCACTCTGTAGACTAGGCTGGCTTTGAACTCACAGAGATCTGCCTGCCTCTGCCTCCTGAGTGAGTGCTGGGACTAAAGGCATGCTCCACCACTGCCCGTCAGAAGACATTTCTTCTATTCCCATTATACAAGAAACAGAGAATATAATAGAAATTTAAAAATTGAGGTTTGACATCTCATTTAGAATGATTTCTTTCTCCTTCCTTCCTTCCTTCCTTCCTTCCTTCCTTCCTTCCTTCCTTCCTTTTTTTTTGTAACATGCTGCATTCTAAGAAGGATCATTGTAAGAGGAAAAAAAAATTGACCAAGGCAGACTTCAGTACTCCACTCCCAGGGTTAAATATATTGATGTAATCACTGAGCGGAACAGTACTGTTGTATGAACTGTGACTAAAGCAAACACAAGCTACCTAATCAGGGCCTCTGGTGTGTTAAAAATAACGTGGGTGTTATAGTGAACATGACATGAGCCCTGTAGGCTTGAGTGTGTTCAGTCTGCGGCTGTCGGTTCTCAGTTGGTGGTGGTATTTGGAGGAGGTCGTGGAAACTTTAGAAGCTGGGCCTTAGCTTTTTAAACAGATCCCAGGGGTGTGCCTTTGAAAGTGACACTGGCTACTAGTCCCTCCCTCATTCTGTGCTTCCTGTGGACTGTGAGGTAGCCGGCTCCTGTCATACTCCATTGCTGGGGTGATGCTCTGCCCAGTGTCTGGGACTGAGCAACCACGGATAGAACCCTCTGAAACTGTGAAGCCAGAGAAACCCCTCCTTCTGTGGGTATATGTGCTTAGGTATCTTGTCACAGTCATGGGGTGAGTGACATCAACAGTGACAAGACTTCCCATGGGGCCTTTTGTCTTTTGAGGGGAAATAGTGATAGAGATACGTTGTGTATTCTAGAAGTTTACATTGTTAGTTTTTCTGATGATGGGAATATTTGATGTTGCAACTTGCATCTGCCCCAGATGCCACCTTACTCCAATACATGGGCACAGTTAACCTGGTGTTTGTTTTTTCAAAGTCTTGCTTAATTTGATAGCTAGCTTTCAAAGCTGTAATAGTTTATGTATGCTGGAATAAAAGTGACCTGAATAGAGAAGGAAACCAACCCTCCCAGTGTAGTTGTGAGTATGACTCAAGAGTAGGGGCTTCCAACTGCTTGCTTGTCCTGACATCAGGGCCCGCAGTAGGCTTAGGGTACTTGAGTTTGTTTTAGGAACACCGTGGAAAAGATGTCTGTTCACACATGCTCCTCATTTCTCTTTGATCTTTCATATAAGATTCTTCCAGGCTAGTCTTCGGTTTAATATGACTCTCAGGAAGAGAATCTCACTGCTATAACGGAATGACCCAAAGACTGATTAGTCCCTGGTGGTCACATCCTATCAAGAGTTGATATTCAGGGGCTCAGTAGATAAAGTACCCTTCAAGCAAGTGAGAAGACTGGAGTCCAAATCCCCGGCGCTCATATGAAAAGCTGGGCAGGTAGCCCAGGATTCCAGGCTGATAGCCAGCCTGTGATCCCAGTAGGCAGGAGGTAGAGGGTGGAGATAGGGGATGGTTAGAGCAAGCTGGGTAGCCAGACTGGCCCAATGAGTGAGTGGCAGAGTTAGCCAGAGACCCATCCCTTAGAGAGAACATAGAGCATGGATGCCAGTGTCAGCCTCTGCCCTCTGCATACTCACATACACACACAAGCATGCACCTGCTCACATGCGTGCCCCCATCCCCCAGCATGTACACTGCATGCACATGTGCAAAAACAAATATGTATTTTATCAGGGTTTCTGTCTAGGAATTTTGGTCCTTTTTTAGAATGATTAAACATTGGTTCATTGTTATAGGTGACTGTAAGGAGACGGGATATTCATGTTTGGTGGGTGGGAGGAAATAGAAAGGAATGGTTCTTTGGAAAGTTGCTCATTGTAATTGCGGTAGCGATAAAATGTATGTCTATGCCATACCTGTCCACTCTTTCCATGTAAATACTGAAGCATGTCATGGAAAGCTAATTCTGTCTGTCCACTCTCCAGGATGCAGAGTGTGAAATCATGGCCTTCTCCTTTCCAGATCTCTTTGACAACTACATGCAGCAGGATGCTCACGAGTTTTTAAATTATTTGCTAAACACTATTGCGGACATCCTGCAGGAGGAGAAGAAACAGGAAAAACAAAATGGGAAGTTAAAAAATGGCAACATGAACGAACCCGCAGAGAGTAACAAACCAGAGCTCACCTGGGTGCACGAGATTTTTCAGGGAACACTCACCAACGAAACCCGCTGCTTGAACTGTGAAACTGTGAGTCCATGGTGGGGGCTGGGGGCATGATGGCGTTCATCTTTCTTGTCCATGTGTGTTGAGATATCACAAGCTTACCATTGTCTTCAGGACCTGTGGGTCGGCCTGTCTATCATTCCTCTGGACCTCAAGCGCAAGCGCTTGGAAGTGTGGGTTCATTATGACGTCTCAGCTGGGGGGAAGAAAAGATGTCCCTCTCAGGTGGTAGGAACAGAGTAAGGAGGACAGTGTGGCCTTAAATGCTGGATTGTTTTACTCCATGAACAGATTTTAGGGCTAAACATTAAAGTATTGAATTACACTGTGAACCACTTAATATGAAGAGGTCGGAGGGCATCACGAAGAGGTCAGGGGTAATGTATGGATCCTTACGTGACTTCTGGAAGTCTATTATGGTGCAGCCTAATGGTAGGGGAAGATTGACTCTGACTTGTACACAGTCAGCTGTCTAGGTGAGAACCCCCTCAACAGGGAATTTTGGGAGTTGGGCATCATTTGTGCTTGGTTGCATCTAGCACCTTGGCTTCAATGGAAGGCCCTTAAAGTTACTTGGATTTAGGGACATCCTCTCTACAGAGTGACTCAGAGTGACGTAGTTGCTTGTTATATTTAACTCAGACTTTGAGAGTGCCTTCATTGTTTGACTGGGTAACAGCCCAGCTGCCTGAGTTTCGGTGCTGGCCCTGACTCCCAGACTTTTCCAACCTTCCATCGTATTGTTGTTTTCTTCGCTGTCTCTGCCGTCCTCATCTTAAAGCAGGGTTGACGCACACACATCATCCCGCTGGTGACCGGGAAGAGCGGATTTGGCGATGTCTGTTAAATGTGGAGCCGTACTCGCCATGTGGCAGAGTATGTAATAAATGTTGTCTGTCGTTCATTCTAACTACTAAACCCACAGAAAGTCTGTATCTCTTTAGGGCTCCCAGAGTTTCTTGATTTGGACAGATGTGTCTGAATATGTATTTTCTGGGGAAGAGAGATAAGAAGCTTCTAACAGAACTGGCTAAGGGCCCCCGTCATGGCCTGCCCAGCTGCCGCCAACAGTGCCGTCCATCATGGGTGATTTAAACCAGGGCTTCTTGACTTTTTTCCTTCTTGTAACCTCCTTTAGCCCAAGAAAATTTTATGGGACTGGTTTATACAGTAGGCATATAAACCAAACATTTATAATAATCATAAATTTATTTTGCAGCAATTCTTTGGGGGGGTCATATAATTTTACCATTTATTAAAGGTGAAAGCATATTTGCATTCTGTGAGATGGATTTACTTATTTTCACACAAAGAATTTAGTAGGGGCTGACTCTTTGATACTATGGGGTGCGGAACATCTTCAGTGCTTTTCAGAGCTGATCAATATTTTGGTTTTAGAATCATCAGTGCTGAGGACACTGTTTCACATCAACATAAAGCGAAAAAGTGGCAGAAGTGTGTTTAGAACCAATCCATAAAGTGCTGGAAATTCTGTCCTAATCCTAAGACAAAATTAATTTAGCATTTTTTAAATTTTTGCTTTTAAAAGACATATTTATTTTTTATATGTATGTGTATATTTTTGTATGAATTTATATGTACCACATTCATGTAGTTCCCTTAGAGCCCAAGGAAGTGGAATTATAGGTGGTTGTGAGCTGCCCTATGTAGGTGTTGGGACATAAATCCAGGTTCTGGACAAGAGCAGTGTCTTTAGAGCACACAGCACTCTAGCCCCTGAGCCATATCTCCAGTCCCTGTGTAACAATATTTAAAAGACGCTCAAGTCAGCAACTCTAACGGCAGTTTTTAAAATCAAACATTCTAACACAATCCAAGCATATACTAATTTAATTCTTATGTGCTGAGGAACGATTGTGGGAAAATATATCTAAAAAACCTTTGTTTTCTCTATTTCAGCCACTGTTTTTCTAAGAGCAGAAATCTCTGTGCAATACACTGCAGTTCAGAAAATACAGTAGCCTCAGATCTGAGCCCACACGCTCCGACTAATATTCATTGGCAGTGGTGAGATGGCACACACGGTGCCAAATGAGTGTGTTGTATGTTCACAACCTAGATTGCAGCGAAATCTTAGGGTGAGGGCCATCAGAAACACCTCAGGTTCACTGTGGGTTTGATTTGATTAGTTTAGGTCATTGTATGTACAGAAACTTTCATTGCTAAATTTTCTGCAGCTCCCATATTAAGTTATGTGAACCCATGTGGGGGTCCACAATCCACAGTTTATAAATCAAACACTCAGACAGTGGAGGTTTGCTCCTCAGAGCCCGGAGGCTGGAGGACTGGAATCTGAGGAGGATGCTTCTCTGGTGGAGACAGAGAAAGCAAGCTCCCTCATCTGCATGCGTTACCCAAAGGCTCTATTTCCACATCAGTAGCTCTACTGTGTAGTGCTACTACACAGTAAAAGTATAGTGCATTTACACAATGGAGTACTACACAGCAGTAAAAAATAATGACATTTTGAAATTTGTAGGCAAATGGATGGATCTAGGAAAAAAATACTGAGTGAGGTAATCCAGACCCAGAAAGACAAATATAATATTTACTCACTCATAACTGGCTTATAGTCATAAAGCAAAGAAAAACCAGCCTACAGGACATAACTCCAGAGAACCTAGACAACAAAGAGGACCCTAAGAGAGACATATATGGATCTACATAGCAAAGAGAAAAAGATAAGATCTCCTGAGTAAATTGGGAGCATGGGGGTCATGGAAGAGGATTGAAGGGGAGGGGAGCAGAGAAAAATGTAGAGCTCAATAAAAACAATAAAAAAAGAAATTGATGTTCTTTTCAACACCATCAGAATCAAGTTTCCGGTTCATTCCTCATAGAAGTGGTTGAAAAGCACAGATAAGTGAAAAAAAGACTAAAAATTACAAGTATTCTTCCCATTCAGAGATGAAAAATATATAATATTTTCTAAAAAAAATGTGATTATATTAGTCTAGAGAACAACACTTTTTTGAGCAATTTTTGGCACAAACCTATTTATCTAGATCTCCACTTTCCTCTTTCCTGCCCCCTTTTCTGTCCATTTATACTTTTTCTTTTCTTTTTTTCTTAAAATATTTATTCATTTATTATGTATACAATATGTTGCGTGCACTTTTCTGTGAAATCCCAAACCCGAAACAGGCGCGCGCTTTCCCGAATCGAGCCCACGAGAATGGATGAATATCCTAAGGGTTGAAACAGAGAGACACAATGCTTATTCACCAAAGAGTAAATGGCAACTTTATTAAACTCAAGTCGGGTATATATACTAGGGGGCTAGGGAGCAAAAGGGCAAAGCCCCCTCCCATCAGGAGCAGTGGAAGAGGATGACAGGTGCCCAGTGCCCAAGGCCTGAAGCAGCTGCAGTGGCAGGCGCCTGAGGCCCAAGGCTGGAACCTTGTTTACAGGTGGAATTACCATAACAAAAGAGGGCCAAATTCTTTCTAAGCTAAACCCTCAGGCCGGTGCAAGAGCAGAAAAACCTGGGAGCCAGAGGTAAAAACAGCCCTGCAAATCGCCACGAACAAAGGGGAAAAGACCTGGGTACCTACAACAATATTCTGTCTATGTGTATGCCTGCAGGCCAGAAGAGGGCACCAGACCTCATTTCAGATGGTTGTGAGCCACCATGTGGTTGCCGGGAATTGAACTTAGGACCTTTGGAAGGGCAGGCAATGCTCTTAACCACTGAGCCATCTCTCCAGCCCCCTATACTTTTTCTTTCAGTAAAGTTCAAGTGAATGCAAAAATAGAGAAAAGTACAATGCATTTTGTGTGTGTGTGCACGTGCATGTGTATGTGTGTGTGTGTGTGTGTGTGTGTGTATGCACACACATGTGTGATCAGGAATTGGTGACTCCTCACTCCTTGCTCCTTGACTCATCTTCATTTTCTGTTTTCCCACGCCCCTCTTCTCTCAACTTGATTTGTTTTTAAGCAAATCCCAGATATCATTTCACTTGTAATTGATATTATCTGTATCTATCATTCAAAGGTAAGCCTTGTTTAAAGCACACTGCCATTTTTACACCTAAAAATAATTTCACCATTATTCACTCAGTGTTGAAGTCTGTCTGATTATGTCCTGTTCTTGTAGCAGTGGATTAATTATATTTTTAAATTTTTCACTTTCCTGTGAGTGTTGCATGTGTGTGGGTGTATATGTTGCATGTGTGTGGTATGTGTGTTGCATGTGTGTGGGTATATGGGTATCACGTTGTGGGTGTGTTGCATGGGTATGTGTGTTGAATGTGCGTGGGTGTTGCATGTGTGTGAGTGATGCATGGGTATGTGTGTTGCATGTGTGTCGGTATGTGTGTTAGAGGGATGAGTGCATGTGATTGCACATGTATGTGGAGGCATGAACGATGTTAGAATAATCGTTCAGCACTCTTCCACCTTATTATTTATTGAGGAAGGGTCTCTTACTTAGTCACGCCCAGAGCTCACTGATACAGCTGCTCCGGAGCCAGCTTGCTTCGGGGATCCCCTTTCTCTTGCTTTCAAGGCAGGAATTATAAATTATAAACTCAGCATTTAAGTGGGTTCTGGGAATCCAAACTCCAAGTCCTCCTGCTTACACAGCAAGTGATTCAGCACTGAGCCATCTCCCCAGTCCAAAGTTGGTTAATTTATACCCATATAGCAGCATGCATGTTAATCTATAATTTATCCCCTCCCTTGTTTTGAGAAATCAGGTTGTTTGTTCTGTAGTGTTTCCTACCATTTTGAAAACATCTTTGTGCTGTTATTTACCTAATTAAAAAATTCAAATTATATTTGTGTGTGTGTGTGTGTGTGTGTGTGCGCGCGCGCACGCGTGTGTGTGTGTGTGTACGCGCACACACGTGTGTACGCTGGTACCAAGGTGATGGTGGGAGGTCAGAGGACCCGATGGTGTCCGATTCGTGTCGGCCAGTCTCCCCTGGGCTTGGGGCCTCCTATGGAGTGTGGCTGATATGCCCAGTGACATTCCATTGGGGAAATAGGATTTTGGAATA